ATGTACTTTTCCGGTCAACTTTGCATCCGGCAAAGTCAGAATCTGAGTATCCCACTAACTCAAATGAATTGCTCTTAGCATACCACAAACCCATGTTCTGAGTTCCTTTGAGGTATCTAAGAATTCTTTTAGCTGCTATCAGATGACTTTCCTTTGGCTTTGACTGGAATCTGGCACAAACACCTACTGCATATGAGATATCCGGACGGCTTGCAGTAAGGTAAAGTAGAGATCCGACAATTCCTCTGTAGAGAGTTTGATCTACATCCTTTCCATCTACATCCATATCAAGCTTGGTGGATGTACTCATGGGGACAGAAACGGATGACTTCTGATCAACTTTGAACTTCTTGATAAGATCCCTTGTATACTTGGCTTGATTGATGGGAGTGCCTTCACTTCTCTGTTTGATTTGAAGGCCAAGGAAGTAGTTGAATTCCCCCATCATGCTCATCTCAAACTTTCCTTGCATGAGGGTTGAGAACTTGGTGCATAGATCTTCCTTAGTTGAGCCAAATATGATGTCGTCCACATAGATCTGAACTAATAGGAGATCTTCTCCATCTTGTAGTTTGAACAATGTTTTGTCAATGACTCCTTTGGTAAATCCATTGTCTATAAGAAATTGAGACAATGTATCATACCAAGCTCTTGGTGCTTGTTTGAGTCCATACAACGCCTTTTTGAGTCTATACACTTGATCTCCCTTAGTGTGTAACTCAAATCCTGGAGGTTGTTCCACATAAACTTCTTCCTCTAGGTTTCCGTTGAGAAATGCGCTTTTGACGTCCATTTGATAGACTTTGAAGTCCTTATGAGCAGCAAAGGCTAGAAACAGCCTTATAGCTTCAAGTCTAGCAACTGGAGCGAAGGTTTCATCAAAATCTATACCTTCTTCTTGACAATATCCTTTTGCAACTAACCGGGCTTTGTTTCTGACAACAACGCCATTTTCATCCATCTTGTTCCGGAAGACCCACTTTGTCCCAATGACATGTTGATGAGTAGGTCTGGGAACAAGTTTCCAGACGTCATTTCTGGAAAATTGGTTGAGTTCTTCTTGCATTACATTGATCCAGTCAGAATCAGTTAGAGCTTCTTCAATATTCTTTGGTTCCACTTGTGAGATGAAACAAGCAAGCATAGCTTCTAGATTCTGTTGGGCACTCCTTGTGCGAACACCAGTTTGAATATCTCCAATGATCTGTTGAGGAGGATGATCCCTTAACCAACGAAGATTGTGTTGATTGGGGTTGACTGGTTGATCTAGTTCAGCTTCTGGTTGAAGAACAGAAGTTGTTGGTGTTTCCGGATGGATTGGCACTGGGTCGCCATTTCCGGAATTGTTGCCGTTTGAGAGATCCGGAATGTTGGAAGGCTGGCCAAAATTTCCGGAGGGCTCAGCACTGTCTGAGTCCGGATTTCTGTGTGAAGTCTTCAGTGGTAGACTTATGAATGGAATGAACCACTAGTACATAAAAGGGCAAAGGCACCGGTTGTTTTACACCTTTAGCATCGGTTTTGTACCGATGTAAATGCCAGCGATGCAATTGGTCCAATTCAATTGCATCGCTTTTGGAAACAACCGATGCCTTTGCTATTTTATTAATTTAAAAAAAAAAAGAGTATTAGCACCGGTTGTTTCTAAACAACCGATGCCTTTGCTATTTTATTAATTCAAAAAAAAATAGTATTAGCATCGGTTGTTTCTAAACAACCGATGCCTTTGCTATTTTATTATTTTAAAAAACAGAGTATTAGCATCGGTTGTTTCTAAACAACCAGTGCCTTTGCTATTTTATTAATTTAAAAAAAAGAGTATTAGCATCGGTTTTTTCTAACCAACCGATGCCTTTGCTATACTACTTTTTTAAATATTAATAAAAAGGTGGTATTGAAAACAAATAATACTAAATTTATCAGTTAACAGAAGCAAAGAGAAGAGAAGCAAAGGAACAAAAGAAGAAAATGATATAATACTAAACTACATAAGATAGCATTGAAAACAAATAATACAACTCAACATGTTTCAGACACCGAGATATCCCTTAATTTGTCACTAATAATGGTGGCAGAATCACCATTTGAAACAACAACTGAAGAATATTAGTGCTTCCAAATTTAGACAAAGCACAACGGTGTTTTTGAAAGATAATACCCCAAACACGAGTCCTGCAAAGTGGACACCGAGGCTCCCTTAATAGCCATGACACCGCTAGGATGATTGAAGTGGCTGCAACAATGACAACAGAGGTGGAGGTGGTGATTGAAGGTTGTGTATGACACAACCACACAAAGCATCCACTCCAAATATAACAATATACAGGGGTGAGAGATGCCAATTCTGAACAAGATCAATGCTGTCCCAACACACCTACACCAAATACCAAAAGGCAATGAATCTAAGCCAAAGGAACCACTCCATTTTCTTTGTATTGATATAGTTACAGCCATTCTGATGCTATAAACATATTTTTTAATGAAAGTTCAGCATTTACCTCCAAAACCTTAAAACATTCAATGAAAATAGCACCTTGTAAACAAAACTCTAGAGAACAAACTATAACTAAAACCAAATATCATCATGTAACCTTCTAATTAAATCCCTAGCTGTTAACTTTTTCCCAAGTAACTTTAAGTGTTCTTCTCGTCCAGCTCTTCAATCACATTCTTGATTTTTCCTTTATTTTTCTACATGAAAACAATGCTCAAGCAAAAGAAGGCAATACAACCCAAACATCATCTTAATAATTAATGATTGACAAAACTTACCTGTAAAATGTTCTTCCTTAGCTAATTAGTTCCACTTTTCCCAAAGAGTTGTTTCTTTGACACAATCCACACATACTTTTGAAGCAATTTGTCCACCTTAAGAGATCAGTCTTTCTGATTTATCTCCATGTGTTTTACCTGAAAATAGGTTGCATATGAGAGATGTTTTTCATGGGTAAGGCATATAAAAAACAAGAGAATATATGGCTATTAATTAAGTAAATACTAAACCTCATTCTCCAATCTCTATTTCTCAAGAGCAACCCCACTAAGTTTACTTTGAAGCTCTTACTGCTGCTTGAGAATGCCTGAAATCTGTGTCACATTTTTTAATCTTCAAAGCCCTTTGAAAAAAGAGGTAATTTGACGCATTAATTATTTTAAAATACAGTTATAATATCCCAATACATATTTATTAAACCACTGGAGAGTGACAAATATAGTGGCTTCAAAAGAAACTAACGAAAAGGCCTAGAAAACTCAGGTATAAGTACAGAAAATACATTAATTTGAAGAAAAATTTAAAACTTAGCTGCACACCTTGAAGAAAGACACCCAATAGAAAAAGATTAATCGTCCTCAGCAAAACTTTCTTGGTTGCTGCTGATTTGCTACAAACTGTCTACATCAGATAGCAAGGGACATTACTTGAGAATGGAAGTAACAACAATTATTCTACTAGAAATAGCGCTCATGAATATTTGAATACATTCATACCTTGAAGACTAGACTCACTGAAAGACCAACAACGGAGAGGAAAATTGGCATTACACATACCTTGAACATGACACTCCGATTTTCTATAGCATTGTAAGGATCCATATAAGGCACCCTTTATGGCAAACAATGCCAGCACTGCAAAGAGTTAGATTCACCACTATGTCAATTTTCTTTTCTCAAACCAGTAGTATTTGTTTTAAAAAAAATTAAGGTAAGTTTTTCTAGTCCAAGAAAGAGCAGTAGTTTCTAACTTCAAAGAAAGAAAATAAGAAGAAAGTATTTTTTTCCACAAGTTGAGAGTTTCAGCACCATTTCACCATCAAGCTAACTAACAAAAAAAATTACAGTATTTTTTTTGCAAGCTAAATTTTTCAAAGCCATGAGAGAGGAACTTTAATTTAAATCCCATGTGAAAGCTAGCTTCAAACTTCAAATTAAAGAAAGAAATTGATATTTTTTTACCCACAAATTTGGAAATGCAGAAACAAATAACAAGAAATGAACAAAACCTAACACGAGAGGGAAATAGTAACAAAACCCTGACAAAAAGTGATTAATGAAATACGAAGTGTTGTTTGAAATTGTAAACCCTAACACATGGCTACTGAATAAGAAAAAACAGAAAAGAAAAGAAAATACAGTAGAGGAGGAGAGAAAGCAATAGATCGCAGCCCTCATAGCCTTATGCCTCTGGCTGCTTGGCCTTCGTCTATCAACATTCAACATTCCAAATGGAAAAACCAAGATCAGGCAGAGCAAAAAGTAGAAGGTAAAAAAAATCAAACCTCTCATTTGATCGAGGTACACAAATCTGATGGAAGGAGAATCCGATCTGAGAAGGGAGGTATAAACCCTAGACGAAGAATGATGACCACGACAAAGACGACATCCACACAAACGGCTTCTGAGGCGACAGACGATGAAGACGATGTTGGTGAAGGAAAGAGACGCCGTCGGCGGAGAAGGAAGACGACTACCGCGGCTGGATGAGATCTGTAATTGAAAGTGAAATAAAAACGAGAAATGAGAGAGGTTAGTAAATAGAACACGCATACGCTTTGGCATCGGTTGCAAGCCTGGAACCGATTTGTTTTCATTTTTAATAAAAAATAAAAAAAGTAAAAATAACTATTAGCATCGCTTGTTTAAAAGAACCGATGCTATTGATCAATTGCACCAGTTATTTTTAATAACCGATGCTAATACATTTTTTAATTTTTTTAAAAAAATTAAAAAAAGAGCAATAGCATCGGTCCTTTAAAATAACCGATGCTTTAGACCTTTTGCATCGGTTTTTTCAATAACCGATGCCATTGAGGGTGGTCTATCTGCTCGTTTTTGTAGTAGTGAACTCCGTAAGCATCATTCTATCTCCTTCATTGACTTCTTCATCCTTGTCTGATAGATCCAGAACCTCATGATCATGCTTTGATGGCTTGTCAACCACATGTTTTTCATCAAAAATAACATGCATGTATTGACTCTTCAGTGATCATGGTTCTTTTGTTGAAGATTCTGAATGCCTTGCTTACCATGGAATATCCTAGGAAGATGGCTTCATCTGATTTCTCATCAAAAGTGTTCAGATGATTCTTCCCGTTGTTTAACACAAAGCACTTGCTCCCAAAAATATGGAAATATGATATATTAGGCTTTCTCCCGTTCCACAGTTCATAGGGAGTTTTGTTGTGCCTTTTATAAATCATACTCCTATTTTGAGTATAGCAGGCTGTGTTAACAGCTTCAGCCCAGAACCTCTTTGGTAAGGAAGCTTCTGCTAGCATGGTTCTCACTGCTTCCTTCAGGGTTCTGTTCCTTCTTTCAGCTACACCATTCTGTTGAGGTGTCCTTGCTGCGGATGTCTGATGAAGAATTCCGTTTTCTTCACAGTAGTGAATGATGATTTCATTCAGGAATT